GAGTAAAAACACGTACAAGCATGGAAAACAATCGATAAAAGAATCTGGACTTTTCCGTTTTCGTGAGGTTCGGCTGCGTCTTGTACATAAAACACCGAAACTGACACAGTTTTCAAAGAACAAACAGAACTGATCGTTCCCTGCAGCGCATCGTTTTATTCAAGGCGAAGCACAGAGCAGCTGTCAGCGGCTGAGTGAGTTGAGGTGCGTGAACTTCAGCCGGCCTGCAATCATCTGACGGACGTTTCCCGCCTCGGATTACGCTGTACATTCTGTCTGTAAAGGTCACTGAATCACCATTATGGGCATCTCGGCTTTCTGTTTTTTTTTTTGTTTTTTTTTTTTACCACCAGCAAAAAGTAAAATCTAATATTTTTAATAAGGCTTTGAAGCAACTACAGCATGATTTAATTCTTGGATTTGGAAAATACATAGCCTATTGATAATGAGCGTTAACCGCTGGTAAAAACTGGACAAAAAAGCCTAATTAACCTATTAAAAGATTAAGTTCAGCATTTTGGGAGATATGCTAATGTTTTGCTTACACTACTAGAAATCAAAGAGTCAAGCATGCTCAATAACCCAAGTAGATGAATCTAACCGGTCCTGAGCCAGGTCCTCTGGACAGATTCTTCTACCTGGACAAGAATCCGTCCAGAGGACCAGGCTCAACACTGTTAGAGACACAGTAGTCCCTCGATACTTCGCGGTTTTACCAAGTACAATGCTGTACTGTAATAATGTACAGAAAAAAAAAAGGGACATTTTTGTAGTTCTCTCAGCCTATACTGTAATGCCAGTCTAAAAGGACTACATTACCCAGAGGGCAAAGTTGCTTCCTGCTGAAATCGAAGGAAAGTTTTGATCCGATCCAAAAAAGTTCAACCCTGACGGTATTCATAGCGACTTCAGCGCTCAGTGGATGCAGAAAGCTGATCAGAACCGGACCAAGGCTGGGTAGGTCTGCCGAACCAGAACCGAGCCAGACCAGAACCCGAGAGCTGCTGTGTTCTGCAGAGCTGAGTAAACTCAATCAAATTACAATTTTAAGTTGAGTCAATAAACATGATCAAGTTATCTTGATTATTAATAAACTCTCTTGTTAAATAAACTTTTGCTTTAGTTGATTTAAATTTATTAGTTGACTGAACAGTTCTGGTGTTGGTTCAACTCAAATCTGTCTTTTCTAACTTCACGGTTTTTCACTTACAACGGGGGTCTGGAACGCAATCACTGTGAGAAACGAGGTACTGCAAGTAAAAAAATTAAATAAAAAATGGGTAGCATAGCTCACACTAACCAGTTAGGACTTGGAATTGATACAGTCACACCAAAAACACAAAATTATTGTAATTTAGCAATTACAAGTTGGGGGAATCCAGAATTGTTAAAGTGGAAAACATTTTTGCTTTAAAGAGCTGAGACTGGAAGCACAACCAAAATCTAAATTTAAAATAAAGAATTACTACCTCTGCCCAGCTACTAGCACCATCCAAACTGAAAACATCTGATTCACTTGCTGCACCTTATTTTTTTTTTATTTATAGTGTTCTTGGTTGAAGAGCAGAGCACTCATCCTGTGGTAAATCAATCCAAGGTTAGAATTCCTATTATAGTAACGTTTCACACCAAGTACATTTATTCAAACTGTCGAAAATGAGCTTGGCTTAGTATTAGACGCTGTATGAAGTTATTATTCTGGTTCTGCCAAAAAGTTAATTTAAATAACCCGTTCAATGATTCAACGTTCAGCCAAATAAAGAGCATTTAGTTCCCAAAATGCTGAAAAAATAATGATAATGAAAATAATTAGGCATTTAGAATAATTTAGATATTTTACTTCAAGATCAGAGCTTCTTTCTTTTAGTATATTAACCAGGACCATATGATTTTCTTTTTGTGATCCTGTTTAATGTGTGCACCAAAATATCCTCTCATTTGAGCTTGAACAGTAATACTGCCATTCACACAAATTTGATCTTTCTGCTAGTTTTTTTTTTTTTTTTAAACCATTACGAACAATTTTTCTCTACACAAACTTTTTTTTTTTTTTAAACATCACCTGCACAAAAATCACCACTCGTACAAAATCTACTGATTTTTAACGGTAGCCAATACTGTCGTTCTAAACTAAAGCAGTTTGCACCAAGAAAGGGCATTATCTCTGAGCCGCATATCTTCTAATTATCTTAAGCTGTGAAAATGGCTGAAAGAGGCCAAATAAGCCCTCAAAGATAAGATCTATTGGGTGACAAGTCACAGAAATAAAACAGAGATGCAATCCTTGCTCAAGTGCAAACCTTAACCTCAGACGAGTCATACCAAGTGGTTATAAAAACAATTATGATAAAATACAAAGTCAAAACAACAGTCGTCTTCAAAAAGTGTTCACATGACCATAAAATATTTCATATCTAGTATTTATATAGCTAGCCTGACAAATTGAGGTAAGCTCTCCGGCTGTGTGGAGCTATTTAAGGGTTCCCTCACAATCGTGGATAGGAAAACTTGCAAAACAAAAAAAAAATTATATGCAATAAATTTAGAGTAATGAGTTGTGGGACACCAGTGTGAGAGGCAATGCAAGAAGTCAGTGGTTCCCAACACAGGTCCTTGAGGAACACCATTCTGCATGTTTTAGTCATTTTCTTGCTCCAACACATGACTTAATTACTTCATGTTCTGCAGAAGCCTGTTAATTACTCATTAATTAAAATCAGGTGTCGGAGCAGAGAAACGACTAAAACATGCAGCATGGTGTTCCTCAAGGACCAGTGTTGGGAACCATTGCAATAAGTAACTGCAAGAAGGCAAGGAGCATGTAGAGGAATAGAGCTAATGAGGTAGGCTTTTGCTGTAAACCAATTTTTTTTTTTTTTTTTTTTTACAAATAATAAAGTTTTGCAGCAAGTAACTTAAATCGGTGTGTGAAGGAAGACCAGGAAGTCTGTGGCAACACTTGGGAACGTCTAAAACACCTTAATACAATACAGACTCCAATGTTGTTTTTTCCAGCTCATCAAACAAACAAACAAACAAAAAAAAGATATGAAAATAACACAGAAATGCACAACTATGTGTAACTCAAGAGGTAGTTGCTAACAAAAGTACATGAATCAGTTCCATACGGCTCGTTATCATTGCTTAACAGTATGTTGAGTCAGTCAGCGGATGATTCCAGAAAGATTAATATACACTTTTTTCTTTTGGTTAATTCCCTGAGAACAGTTCATCATCCTGAGAGGAATTGTGTGTAAAAATGTAAAAATACATCATACAAAAAGGTTTCAGCATAAAGCTGCGCTCCATCTGCAGTTTGGTCATTCACTTTTTTTTTCCTGTCGTGCTGCATTGTTTGATTTGTAATGCACACATTCAAAGCTGTACATTGTCTTTTTTATTTTTAAAAAAAGGAAAAAAATTATGTGCTCCATTGTCCTTTCAGCAATAAATGCATCTTATTGTGAAAGGGCAACCTGCACATGTAAATGCCTTCAAAGAAATAAAGCCAAACTCTTTGGTATAGAGATATATACCAAAAGAAAGTTGGTTGTCTACTTGGAGCTTTTAAAAAGCACACGCGCTAGCTTGATATATTTATACAAAGTTATTTGATTTGTCAGAACATTTAAGAGACGACTCCGAAGCGATCTTGTGATTTTTGTGAAGAGTCGGCTTCAGGTGGGCTCTTTTCACATTCAGTACGGTCAGAGGAGAGTTGTTAGTGCCGCGAAAAGCCATGCTTGGCATTCGAGTTGCGCCAAAAGCAACGCACTATCCATCCGTTTCTCCCTCTAGTCTTCGAGTCTGAAGAAACAGCAGCAGAGACGCCTTCTCATCCCCCAACAGGAGTGAGCATCGTGGTGCTGACTGACGAACGGTAGGCACTGATGGATGAGGAAAACACGGTTCAGTTCGACTGCAACCAAACGGCAAAGAGAGCAGACAGATTTGACATTCACTTCCCAAAGGAAGAACGAGTTGAGGTATTATTGTAGGTAAAGCAGCTGCGATGACGAAGTATTGATTGAAACTGCACCAGATAAGGCGAGTTTTTGTGCCTTTAGCATATAAACTAGACAATATGAGGAAACGGGTGGAAATATGTGGAAAATAAATGAATTTGGGGGATTGAAACTGTTAAATAGAGGGAAGTATCCCATGCACATAGATTTAAATCCTTATATATGCATTACTTACAGTTAATATATGAATTTTATCTTGCAATTTCACATATATTTTATATATATATATATATATTAATGACTACTTTAAACTAATTATGCAACAATCGAATTAGAAGCCTAATGATCAGTTCACTACTTTAAACCTAAACTATGATCTAGATGGATTATATGAGACTTTTTATGATAATAGGAAACAGTGGGGGGTTAATAGTGGTGACTAGTACTTAAAGAGGAGGTGCCCCCCCTCCTAACAGTTCGGATTTCCTTTCGCAGCACAAGCACACACACTCTCGTTTTCTCTCACGTCGCACTTCTTCAACAATCACTTGGTCCAATTCGTCCTCGCACAGGAGATATGTATCGAGCGTTTTCAAAATATAGAAGGTATTCTAGCAGCTCACTGGCTTTTTAGAACTTTCCTCCCACCCCCTCAGGAATTCATTAAATTTCCCTGAAGATCTCTGGAAGCCAAGCTAAAAGTCCTATGGGGCTGGATTATCTCGTGGAGGGTCTGAAGCTCTTAAGAGTCCCTAATCCTTCTTAAAATGAGTTACTGTGCGTGCTGCAAAGATGCAATCGTGAGGGTTTTGGAATGATAAGGCCTTTAAAATAACATAAGTAAGGGGGGTGGGAGGGGGGGGTCTTCAAAATGGCCACCCCTTAAGGTCCAAAAAAATGCAAGCAGAAGAGAAAAAAAAAAAAAACCATAACAGTCATCAAACGTAGACACAAACTACATTTCACCTTTGAGCTGCACAGACTGAAAGCAGAGTTACTCCCTGCGGTCACCCTTCCAGCAGCGGTTGCCATGGCTGCAGCAGATGACTGCAAGTCACATTCACACGTGTTCGTACCCAGCTGATCGTTGCCATAGCCGCGCCGGTTAGAAAAATAACCATTTCAAATCAAAAGACGTAAAAAAACCTCAATTTCTTTTTGTCCACCAGGCGTGAGGTAGATGAGGGGTGGACTGGAGGGGGCGGGGCTTCAGGTGGCCTTGATTGAGAATCAACGCGAGAGGCTGCGCCGTCAAAGTTCACCTCAACGGGTTAGCTTTCAGGATTTCCTCCACCTTTGGGTCCTTGAGCCCCGGTGTGTGGGGGGCTCCTCGGGAGAGGAGGAGGGCGATGAGCCAGAGCACTGCTGCTCCTCCTCTGGGGGGCAGAGGTAGGGCCCAGTTGCTGAAGCGGAGGCAGAGGTAGACGCATATGGGTCCTGAGAGCCTGAGGAGGGGGTCAGCGCCTTGTGGGGGCACTGAGCCACCATGTGTGTGATGCTCTGGCAGTAGTGGCATTTCTTTGGCTGGGGGGGCAGGCCACACTCCTTGGCATGATGATCCAGACCTCCACAGTTATAACAGCTGAAAATGATAAACATAAAAATAACACCAACAGAAACACATGAAGCAGCAGCTACATTTACTCAGGAAACAAAAAGATCTTAAATATGGAAGAACGATGGAAGTCACATTTCTATGAGACCATGGAGGAAAAACAAAACTGCTGCAAATATATTTCACCACTAGATGGGAGTCTAGCATGCAACAAGACCGAGGGCACTGAAATATGGAAAAACAGGCAAAAAACTTGGAATGGCAGAAAAATGTAAGATCCCTGATGGTCACATAGAATAGAAATCAGCTTATTGTTCCTCCGTGAGGAAATTCAGGGTGTCTTAAGGAGAAGAACATGAAGCTTTTTGTCGAGATAGAGGTTGGTAAGCTCAACCATCCAGGTAGATGGCAACAAAAAAATGTTTAATCGTGTCATCTGGAGCGGTTTAAGTGAGAAATGTTTCATCCCTTAACCAGAGGACTTCCTCAGTCTACGGCCTGCCGGTATCCTTCACTGCTGTTTCAAGTCAACCTCCTGTTGTTCAAAAGTAGGAATTCAACCTTGGTTGTCCTCAGGCTGTTTCTGTGAGTAGCAAGTTGACCATCTGGCCTAAAACGTTTGATTGTTGTACATGATGATTGTTTTGGATGGGTGCGTTTCACACGTGTTAGCCTACTTTTGAGCAACAGGTTGGCTTGAAACACAGTGAAGGATATCTAAGGGACAGAGCTGATTGGGAGGCCGTAGACTGAGGAAGTCCTCCGGATGGGAGACAAAACGTTTCTCCCTTAAAGGAACTGGTCCAGATGATACGATTTAACCTTATTATTTTTGTAGAGATGTTCAGATTGATCGGCCACCTATCAGGATCAGCAGATTTCTGTTAAAAAGTATGTGACTGGCCGATACCGATCAATGCCTTTCAGTGCCAATCACAAACAACGATCACATTTGCAGCCTGCAGAGGTCCGGTGGTATTATATATATTTAGATATATATATATATATATATATATATATATATA